ACACATATATGCAACCAACATATAAATTGCTCATCATCATCTTCAATGAAATTTACAGATTGTTTATCATTGTATGAATAAGCGTTTGTACATGTACATAAACCACCTCATCTATATTGTTAGAGATGGGATATCCTTAGTTACTTCATTAGGTAAAGGAAAAGTAATAATCAACATACTGAGAGAGAGAGAGAGAGAGATAGAGAGAAAGAGAGAGAGAACCTTTTGCAGCCAGGAGGATGAGTCGATATCCACCCTTCTTTCTCTTTATGAATAGTAAGCTGCTGCGCTGGTATCCACTGGCTCTTGCTCTGTTCAAAATCCATTGTCAGTTGTAAGAACAAATGTCTCTATATTTTTTAATTAAATAGAAATAACGTTTTTGGTTTTAATTATAGCCTATGTGAATTAGATACAAACGTAAAAGTTCAAGAATTGAGTTACTTGTACAGATAGAAAATTCGATGGATGTTGACATGGCATGCACCTCAACCCATTATTTTGAATTTAAATTAATGCTATGTGTACATCCTTTGGTTTAGATCTTTGTGTATGCTCCGTTGGAATTGAAAAAGTGTTGGGCAAGAAACTATGTTTTTAAACTGCCCAACCACGTGTCCTCACATGGCACAATGTCAAAAATGATGTGACAAAAGATATACATGTAGCATGATTGTTGAATTTATGAAGTTCAAACCAAGTGCTAAGGCGCATGCCACTTCAGCATTTGTCAAAGAAGTTGTCAAAAAAATCATACAAGTAACAGAGTTCAAAGTTCAATACAAGAATGAATACATAATAAATACCATTGTTCTTTGTATCAACGCCTCTGCTTCTCCCTTATCTCTCTCACACTCTATGAATCCCTCTTTATCATAATATCATGTATATATAGGGATATGGAAATGCATGTACCAACGGCGAATGTGTGAATATTATGCTTTATCCACAACTTGCTTTCCCTTGTCTCTCTCATCATAGGAATTAACTCTATGTATAAAAGGATAAATAGGGATAAAGACCGGCATGACTAGCTTTTCTCATGTATCTTTCGTTATGAGAATCCACTTTCTATGTAAGGATAAATAGATATAAAGAAAGGCTAGACCTTCATTTTCGTTGTCCCTCTCGTTATGGGAATCCACTACTCATATAAGGATAAATAGGAATAATTGATATCAAATCATTCGAGCATTTCTTGAGTGACTATTAGTGCTGTCAAGAATTCTCATCAAGAATCAACTTTTTGCATTTTAGATTTGTTATGATAAAGAGAATCTAGAAAAGAATAATGTATGCTTTTAAAAAGAATAATGTTATCTAACACCATAGTAAAATATCAATCTAGGTAGATGAAAATATATAATAAGAACAACAATTAAGTGGGTACTATATTTTTTACATTTAATTAGATATAATTGGACCTATAATTGGAACAGGTTGAAGCTCCAACTTGACCCAATTTTGTCAACTCCTCGTAATAAAAATTCTACCATACAGATTTTGTCCACCCCTAACACAAGAAAAAAGGGTGAATCGTGAATCAAGCTCGGAATTAATTGGCACTACTAAAACGATCCTTAATGAATGCAACATTTTAGTTTTGACCCCATAAATATACAAATTTTGCATATTTTTCACGTTCCATCTTTGTATTTATTATCAGATGAAAGGCTAAATATGCACCCACAATATTTTCTTACCAGTGCAATAAATTTTTACAGCATGAAATGTTTATAACCTTTGTTCATTGTTACATTTATGTTTCTAACTTTTTGAAATCTCATTTTTATCATCAACCTTCCACAAATTAGTACATTCTTTTTTTGGTCCAAAAAGTTCGTTAAACAGTGGATATATATATATATATATATATGTGTGTGTGTGTGTGTGTGTGTGTGTGTAAATAATGTATGTTTTTGTAAATGTAAGAAGTCTTTAGTAATTGTAATACTTCCATTGTCTTTCAATAAGAAACTTAATCCTATAATGAAATTCGTATCTTTAATATTTAAAGGTCTAACCTATACAGATTCTTTAGGTAAAGTATATTCTATGCTTCTACCACAATTTGTTTCAAAACTAATTTTGCTATTTGATTGTAATAAGTCTGTATAAGTATATAATTCTCCATTCATTTGTTGTGCTTCTATTGATTTTTCTGAATGTATTTTGTATTGTTTTGGTATTAATTTCTTATTAATTATACAATTACTACATCTTGAGTTTATTAGTCCTAAACACTTTATTTCATATCTCATTAGACCCTCGTATATTTTGAATAAGCAAAAAATAAAAAAATCACTAAATTATGAGAAATATTTGTCCCTCATTTTTAAGCTCGCAAATAGAATTTTTTTGGGAAATCGTCATTAACACAAAATATTCTAATTAATGATAAGTATGAGATAAAAATGTTAGCAACCAAAATGTGAAAACGAATAAAGTTTAAAGATCTTTAACGCATTTAAAAGAGATGGATTAATTTATAAATATTTTCGTGACCGCGTGAATGTAACCTCCATCTAACAAAGAGGGGTAATTTTATTGATAACACTCATTTTATTATTTGGTCGCATTTTACTTGCATTTAAAACTCAATCTTTATTTATTATTATTATACTTTTAACTTTTTTTCTTTGATTTTTATCATCAACTTTTCATTACTTAACAAATCCCTTTTTTAGTAACAATTTTTTTTTTTTTTTTTGAAAACAATCCTTTGGGAGGGTGTGAAATTTTTGATAAACATGTAAAAGCAGCATTGAGAATTGAGAAAAGCCTTTCTGAGCAATTGAGTGGTAAAGAACAAATGAGCCTAGAGTTAGTAATGGCAATCAGACATGGGCTGGAGTCCCTATTAATAGACCATCGAGGAGGGATCGCAAAGGAGTTGGTTTTAAGTGTTTTTTCCTCATCATTCTTATGAAAATAATAAATGCAAAAGTGGGAAGAGATATTTTTTTTCCTCATTGCAAAGTATGAAAATCATCATCAGAGACGAGATTCGTTAATTAATGGAATGATCGATTAAAAAGTTAACTATACAAGTGTTACATTAAACAAAGATCGAGAATCTTAAGTACAATTATAATATATTCTAGAAAGTCGAGTTTGTTGCTTGCATATAATTACCTATTATAGAGACCATCCTGAAATATCTGCTAAAAAAACATATAACGCCCTCCCAATCATAAAATTACATAGACACCATTCCATATTTCTTTTGGAAAAAGGACCACAAACTCCCATTTTTCCATTTTAAGTTTCTTTTTTAAACTAAAAAAAAATATTATAAATGTACATAAACCATCCCTCATCAGATTGGTTGCTACCTTGAAATTTCCCTGTAGCTCACTTCTTTTGCTTATATTTTGGACTTTTAAGGCTAAAGTACAATATCTTGTAAATATTTTTATTAACAATTACTTAATTTTAACTATGAAAATATGGAGTCTCAAATAATGAAAATCGTTAATATGAGAGTTAAAATCGCACACAATTTTCAGTTGATCTTTAGAGAAATATTAAGTAATTTGACGATTTTGTCCTCCAATTTTAAGTCGGAGAAAGTCGATTGTAATTTCAAAGTTGATCTTGATGATTTTGATCTTGTGGGGAACCAAAGTCACATATTCAAATGGATTAAAGATCTAGTACAACACTTTTAAAGGTTGAAGATCGATAACCACATGAAAGGTTGGGTATATCATCCTTAATTTTCCATTTTGGGGGAAGGGGGAATTTGGGAGGAGCTCCCCAACTTCTCAAGTAGTGTGAGAGTGACTCGACAATCTTCAAACGTTAGGTTTTGATTTTCAACTTATGTAGTACTGGGAGATTGTGTCCCCATGTAGGAAATCAACGTTAGTGTTTAAATTGTCGGTGACTTTCAAGTAAATTAATGTTGGATGCCAAAATGGTTATTCAAATTTTCTTCCAATTTTACTATCTATAAAATAATTATTCTCAATCCACATATTTTTGTTTAAAATATCTTGTAAGTAAAAATACAAAAGCTAAAAAATTACCTTATCATTAAAAATTTACTCTTAAGTGAAAATTACTTATAAGATAAATTTTCAATTTTGCGTCGAAATGCTTAGAAAGTAAAAAATTACTATTAACAAGATAAAATTCGCTTTAAAATATAAAATGTTACTTTTAAGTAAAGAATTTACTTATGTATCAAAAAATATTTAAAAGTGTAATATAAATATTTCACTTTTAAGTTAAAAATTAACTTACATCACTTTTAGGTAAAACATCACTTATGAATAAAAAGTTTATATATATAAATTGAAAATTTCATTAAGGGCATGTATAAAAAAAAAAAAAAAAACTTTTAAAATCATTGGATAATAAGTACTTTAAACATAAGCTGGAATGTTTTAGAAATCAACCAAAATTAGATTCCTTATAAGCAAAAGAAATTGGCAGTTTAAAAAAGGGATGACTAGCAAAAAACGTCCCTACCTTTAAATATTATTATGCAAGACGTCTATACCTTCCATTTTTTTGCATTTTCGCCCTTATTTCCACCTTTCATTGTGAAAATCATCATTTTCATCTATTTTCTCAATTAAAAACTATGAAATGACGAACATACCCTCCTATTTGAATAAAACAAAAGGAAAATAAAAGAATAAAAACTAATTGCAACAATGATTCCAAATTTTCAAAAAATTTCAGATAAGTTACCAATATATAATTGGGAAAAAAAATCACTTAATCTTCTTCCTCCTTTCTCCACCATTATCCACCTCCTCACTTGTGATTACCCTTTAAAAAACCATTTAATCAGTGTCCAGAGCTCTAAAGCAGGCCCAAGCAATCACGAAAAAGAGAAAAAAAAAATCCTCCAAATAAAAATATAGCTCAAAAGGAAAAAAATAAATAAAAATAAAGCTTGATTTCGTAAAAAGAAAATTGCTTTTAGAGAATCCAAAAATTGCGTTTTCATTTGTTTTTTTCAAAATTCGACGTCTACTAAGTATTGAGGTACTTTTATCCACTATCTCTCTTTTCTTTTCTTGTTTTTGAATTCAAGTCTTGATTTTTCCTGTTTTAATTTTGATTCTGTTGTGAAAATCTAAGTGGGTTTGTCTCAGTTGTTTGTTATTGATTATTTTTCTGTAGTTTAAGATTACTCTCTGTGATTTTCGATTTCGAGAATGTTTTTTTTGGCTCAAAACGTCCCCCCCCCCTTTCCATTTGCTTATGGTGCTGGATTTGTGCTTCTGTATATCGATTTCAGAAATTGTCTTCATGTGAAAATGAACCATCAAAAGATGATTTCTTTGTCTTAAGTTCCATAATTTTGCTAATTAACTACTCAAAGTAGTTAAAGAACTGCTTAATTTTGTGTCAAGTTTTACTTATTGTTATGTGCCTCGTGATTTCTGTTGAATTTTTCTTATCCTCATGTGCCTTGAGATGTCATCTATTTATCAGAAGGGAGGAAGAAGATGAAGTAATTTTTCTTTTTTCTTTTTATATTTAATTATATATTTGTGACCCATTTGTAATTTTTTAAAAATTTGATTCTATAATTGTAATTAGATTTTTATTTTTTCTTTTTCTTTAAGTGGCTGTTTGACGGCCTTTAATTTACACAAATTTATTTTCAGCAACAGTAAAATCTGCTTTCTGATGAATTAGAATTGTTTTTTAATGTTATGATATGTACCTTCCAAATTTACCCCTAACATAAGGAATTTTTAATGACAAACTATGGCAAAGGGGAAATTAGTATTTTCAACAGGGTGGATGTTTCACTTTTGTTCATCCTGTCAGTTGCTTTTTCAAATGTTAATTATTGATTTTACCGTGCTAAAAAGTTTGCTATGTGACAAAAGGGTTTTTCAATGGAGTCAAACGGGGGCCTTATTTAAATAAGAGGTTGTATTCATCATTTCATGGTTTTTAATTGAGGAAATAAATGAAAATGATGATTTCCGCAATAAAAGGTTGAAATAAGGGTGAAAATGACAAAAACATGAAAGGTATGGACGTTTTGCAAATTAATATTGAAAGTGATTGACGTTTTGTGCTAACTACTTTCAAAAAAATTCCCCGTAATGGGCACCCAAAACTCCAAAAGAGAATGCAAAAGACCAATGACTAAATAAAAACTATCATATTAGTTCAATACTCGAACATGTTTTTTACCCACGGGAAAACCATGGTAAAACACATGTGAAATAGCACTTGTCAAGTTTATTTATAATGGTAGAGCATCATATTAGGACAAATACTTGTTCTATACAATCGGATGAACTTCAATTCCTTTGACGATAAAACTGGACTTGGGATTGAGTTCTTTCTTCTCAAAGAGTTGCATTTCTACCACACCTTTATCTCCCTCGTCACAGGTGAAATCTCCAAGTTTAATCTCCTTCCACCCATATTTTAGAGCTTGTGGAACCTGTCCAATATCATCAGCTTCTCTTTTATTGATGAGGAATACAGTGGCATCCGGATGATCTGCTCCATCAACTATGTCCTCAACATACCTAACCAATGCTTTGGCTTGCTCTAGGCCCTTCAACCCTTCTTTGAGCTTGAACACAAGATACACTCTATAACTTGTATTTTTAACCAAGTCTTTTACATCTATCTTCCTAATAATATCCTGCAAAGTCGCATTTCGAAGCTTGGCCACCACAGTGCTACACGTATATTCAACCAAGATATAAATTGCTCGTCATCATCTTTAATGAAATTTACAAATTGTTTATCATTGTATGAATAAGCGTTTGTACATGTACATAGACCACCTCGTCCATATTGTTAGAGATGGGATAAACTTATTTACATCATTAGATAATCAACATATTGAGAGAGAGAGAGAGAGAGCGCCATATGCAGCCTAGAGGATGAGTCCATACCCAGCCTTCTATCCCTGTAATAGTAGGCTCCCACGCTGGTATCTACTTGCTCTGCGTAGAACCCATCGATAGTCGCAAGGTCAGCCCTGAGATTATAGGCTTTAGACTAATTTCAAATATGAGACCTATATATATGTATGTATGTATATATATATATTAGTCGTAAGAACAAATGTCTATATATATTTATAGAAATAGTGTTTTTAGTTTTAAATATAACCTACATGAATTAGATACAAGGTTAAAAGTTCAAGAATTAAGTACTTGTGCAGAAATGTATTAATAGAAAGTTCGATGGATGCTGTGATGGCATGCACCTCATCCCTTTATTTTGAATTTAAATTAATGTTAAGTGCATATTCTTTGGTTTAGATCTTTGTGTACGCTCTGTTGGAATTCAAAAAGTGTTTGGCAACAAACTGTGTTTTTAAACTGTCCAACCACGTGACCCCACATGGCATAATGTAAAAAATAATGTGAAAAAAGATATACATGTAGTATAATTGTTGAATTTATGAAGTTCAAACCAAGCGCTAAGATGCATGCCACTTCAGCATTTGTCAAAGATGCTGTCAAAAAAATGCATAAGTAACTGAGTTCAAAGTTCAATAAAAGAATGAATATATAATACATACCATTGTGCTTTGTATCAACGCCTTTGCTTTTCCCTTAATTCTTTCACTCTATGAATCCCTCTTTATCATAATATCATGTATATATAGGGATATGGAAATGCATGTACCAATGGTGCATGTGTGAATGTTATGCCTTATCCATGACTCACTTTCCCTTGTCTCTCTCATTATAGGAATTAACTCTATATATAAAAGGATAAATAAGAATAAAGAAAGGCATGACTAGCTTTTCTTATTTATCTCCCGTTACAGGAATCCACTCTTTATATGAGGATAAATAGGAATAAAGAAAGCCATGACCTTCATTTTCTTTGGCTCTCTTGTTATCGGAATCCACTACTCATATAAGGATAAATAGGAATAACTGAAATCAAATCATTCGAGCATTTCATGACTAACTATTTGTGCTGTCAAGGATTGACATTAAGAATCAAGTTTTTGTATTTTTCATTTGGCATGATTAAAGAGAATCTAGAAAAGAATAATGTATGCATTCTAAAAGAATAATGTTATCTAGCACCATAGTAGAATATTAGTCTAGGTAAATGAAAAATATATAATAAGTACAATAATTAAATGGGTGGATATTTTTACATTTAATTAAACATAATTGGACCTATAATTGGAACTGGTTGTTGCTCCAACTAGACTGATTTTTTGTCAACTCCTCGTAATAAAAATTGTACCATGACAATTTTTGTCCACCCCTAACACAAGAAAACGGGTGAATCATGAATCAAGCTTGGAATTAATTTGTACTATTAAAATGATCTTTAATGAATGCAATATTTGAGTTTTGACCCCATAAATTTATAGATTTTACATACTTTTGACATTCCATCTTTGTATTTATTATTAGATAAAAGGCTGAATATATTCCCACAATATTTCTTACTATAACCTTTGTTCAATGTTTCATTTATGTTCCTAATTTTTTGAAATCGCATTTTTATCATCAACCTTCCACAAATTATTGCATTCTTTTTTTGTCCCAAAAGTCCGTTAAAGAGTGGGAAAAAAAAACTTATTTGATCCTCGTATATTTCAAATAAGAAAAAAGTGCAAAAACTACAAAATTATGAGAAATATTTGTCCCTCATTTATAAGGAAGCAAATAGAATTTTTCTAGGGAAATAATAATTAACGCATAATATTCTGATTAACGATAAGTCTGAGATAAAAATGTTAGCATCCAAAATGTGACAATGAATAAAGCTTAAAGATTTTTACTACACTTAAAAGAGAGGAAATGATTTATAAAATATTTTCGTGGCCCTGTGAATATAACCTCCATTTGATAGGGAGGGATAATTGTATTAATAATACTCATTTTATTATTTGATCGCATGTTATTTGCACTTAAGATCTCAATCTTTATTTATTATTATACTTTAACTTTTTTTTCTTCGATTTTTATCATCAACCTTTCATTACTTAACAAATCCCGTTTCTAGCTAATAACAGATTTGTCGAAAATAATCCTTTGGGAGGGCATAAAACGACTTATTTCTACATCATTCTTATGAAAATAATAAATGCAAAAGTGGGAAGAAATATTTTTTCCTCATTGCAAAGTATGCAAATCATTATCAAAGACGAGATTAGTTAATGGAATGTTCAATTAAAAAGTTATATCACTAAACAAAGATTGATAATCGTAAGCACAATTATAATATAGTGTAGAAAGTTGAATTTGTAGCTTGCATATAATTACCCATTATAGATACCTTCCTAAATTATCTGCTTGAAAAAACATGTAACTCCCTTCCAATTCCAAAATTACATATACACCATTTCATATTTGTTTTGGAATTTGAATCACAGACTCCCATTTCACCATTTTAAGTTTCTTTTTTAAGCTAAAAAAAAATAAAAATTTAAAAGTACGTAAACCATGACTTATCAGATCGATTTTTACCTTGAAGATCCCTTTTAGTTCACATCTTTTGCTTATTTTTTTGAGATTTTAACGCTAACTAACTATATCTTGTAAATATTTTTATTAACAATTAGTTTATAATCGTTGTCGACTAATTGCATTTACCTTAACGTCTAGTAATTTAGGTTCACCACATAGACGGAAGCATATATAAATAAATAAATTTATCAATTTAAAAATTCTAGGAATCTTCAATACACAAAATATGAATCATTAATGTGGTAGATAAGAACTGAAACTAGAGACTAATAAGTCTACTAAAATGTGAAAACAAATAAAGTTTAAAGATCTTTAATGCACTTAAAAGAGATGGATTAATTTATAAAATATTTTAAAAATATGAATGAAAGATCCCACTAAATTAATAATACTCATTTTATTATTTGATCGCATTTTATTTGCACTTGAGATCTCAATCCTTATTTATTATTATACTTTAACTTTTTTATTTGATTTTTATAAACCTTTATTACTTAACGAATCCTGTTTCTAATAACAGTTTTGTAGAAAACAGTGCTTTGGGAGGGCATAAAAACGACTTATTTCTACATCATTCTTACGAAAATATTAAATGCAAAAGTGGGAAGAAATATTTTTTCCTCATTTCAAAAAATGTAAATCATCATCAAAGACGAGATATGTTAATTAATGGAATGACAATTAAAAAGTTAATGATATAATTGTTACATTAAACGACGATTGAGAATCTTAAGTACAATTATAATATAGTGTAGAAAGTTGAATTTGTAGCTTCCGTATAATTACCCATTATTAGTATCTTCCTGAAATATCTGCCTGAAAAAACATATAAATCCATTCCAATTCTAAAATTACATAGACACCATTTCATATTTGTTTTGGATTTTGGATCACAGAGTCCTATTTTACCATTTTAAGTTTCTTTTTTAATCTTAAAAAAAAAAAAAAAAAAAAAAATTTGAAAAAGAACGTAACCTTATCAGATTGGTTTTTACCTTGAAGTTTCCTTTTAGTTCACATCTTTTGCTTATTCTTTTGGTCTTTTAAGGCTAACGTACTATATCTTGTAAACATTTTTATCAGCAATTAGTTTAAAATCGGTGTCGACTAATAGCATTTCCCGTAAAGTCTAGTAATTCAGGTTCACCACATAGACAGAAGTATAAAATTTTAAATAAATAAATGTGAAATCTTAGTGGCGTCAATTGTTTATGCAACAATATCGAAGCCTAGTTTTACCTCTATAACTTGAGTTCTTGAAGGGGATACTTTTAGATTTAAAATTAACCATATATATACTTTAGTTCTTCTGAAGTATTTGCCAAAGAATTAAATACGACACAATCTCATGAAGGCTGGAATTAAAGTGGTATGAGTTGAAACTCTTATTTTTCATCTAGATAAAACAAATACACTGGTTGTAAAAAATTCAGTGAATCCTTATGAAGAAGCATCCAAATTTAAATTTTGTAACTTAAATTTTCGAGCAAGTTAACTAAATAGATAAAAATAATAATTGTCACCTAACTTTACATAGAAACGATTCAATGTTTACTTATTATTATAACTGCGCAATTAACCCACATTAACCTAAAAATTCTAAATACTCTTTATATTGTCACATAATCTACACGTCCGATTTCTTGAAAGTAAAGAAACCATTTATTTTTTCTAAGAGTAGGGTAGATCTAGTTGGTTGGAGGGAAATGGGGTAAAATGATACTACAATTTATGTGGTAATTGGGCCAGTACCATCTAGATTCATGCTAAGCATTATTGGTGCTAAATAAGCTTTATAGTAATTTTTGTAATGATGACACAATTCTTCTTCCTCTTTTTTTTTTCTTTAAAAAAAAAAACCAAAAAGATTGATGACTAAATAAAAATTGTCATATTATTTGTAACAAAACAAGTTTTTTACCCAAAAAAAAAAAAAAAAACCTTTAAAAAAAAATTTTTTGGCCCATAACCCCCCCCCCCCCCCAAAAAAAAAATCGTCCCTGCCTGCAAGTTGATGTAATTAACAACACTTTTGAATCTTTCTATTCATGACAACAATAAAAAGCTTGTTGTAGAAACACCAATTGTTCTTCCACTTCTTATGGATGTATTAAGATCTGGAACAATCGAAACAAGGAGCAATGCAGCTACCACCCTTTTCACGTTATCAGCTCTTGACTCAAATAAGGCCCTCGTTGGAAAATCAGTTGCCTTGAAACCCCTCATTGACCTATTAGATGAGGAGCACCCGTTAGCAATAAAAGATGTTGCTTCAGCTATCTTTAATCTATGTATTGTTCATGAAAATAAGTCAAGGGCTGTTAGAGATGGTGCAGTGAGAGTGATCTTGAAAAAGATCATGAATGAAATGCATGTTGATGAGTTACTGTCCATCCTAGCTAATCAGAAGGCTGTCGAAGAAATGGGAGAGCTTGGGGCTGTTCCCTGCTTGCTTCATATAATACGAGAGACTTCTTGTGCTCACAACAATATTAACTATAATCTACAGATACAAAAGCGTAAAAATTCTATACAAGGTTGAATTAATATATAATACCATGGTGGTTTGTATCAACTCCTCTTCTTGTCCCTTGTCTCTCTCACTCTATGAATCCCTCTTTATATAGGGATATGGAAAGGCATATACTACAAAAAGCAGACAATGATGAATGTGTGAATATGATGCTATATCCAGAACTTGTTTTTCCCTTGTCTTCCTGGTTTTGGGAATCCACTCTTCATATAAGAATAAATACGAATAAAGAAATGCATCCAACTTGAATAGTTCAAGGATGGCTATTAGTGTTGTCACGTATCGTAGTTAAAGAATCGACTTTTTGGATTTTATATTTGCTTTGGTTAAAGATAAACTAGAATATTGTGAAATGAATGTATTAGTGATTTTTGAAGAATCAAAATAAGGTATGCTTTTTAAAAGAATAATGTTATCTAATAAAATACCGGAACACCAATCTAGGTGAAAGAATATGATATGTACAACTAAGTGAATTTTATAACTATATTTAATTGAATTTGTTTTATTCTTGCATTTAGAAGGGTGGCACAGCTGATACTAAATATTATTACCAATTCTAAAAAGAATACCTTCAAACAAAATTCTAAAAGGAAGTCAAGAAAAAATTGCATATTGTTGAATTTAATTTTCAGATATTTTAATGATCATACATCATGTTAATAATTTTTGGAAATAAATTGTGCATGTTCTACTTTATGTCTCCATGCGTTAATCAAGTTGATAGCTAGTTCTACTTGAATTGAAATGTGATCTGTATGAACCTCACAAAGAAAAAAAGAAATATAGGAGATTTTCCAATCTCCTCCAGAAACTCTGGACATTACAGAATGATATCGGATAAGAGTTTAATACGTCATGCATACTTAATACTCTTTTGATAGTTCATAAGTAATAGGTCAAAATATCATAGATAAATCATATTAGAGCAAGAGTTTTAGTCGGTTCTGCAGGCTTAATATTTCTATGTGCATGCTAAAAAAAAATACTTCCTTACCAGAATAGTCTTGTATTGAATTACATTAAAAGTGATAAATAAATGCTTTTACTTGTCTCTGTGTGATTATTTGATAATTGCAAGTTGCAGTAAGACCAAAACATATAGAAGAATCCATCAGTAATCATCATCCATCGAATTTCTATCATTCTACTGTCCACATGTAAGAGATTTGTTGAGGAAGAAAAGAGTTTTTTAAAGTTTTCAAGTTTGATCATTTATTCTACACTTCAATTCATTCAGATCAAGCACGTGGCTTATTTAAATTGTTCGATTACAAAAAGTAATTTTTTATATACCTTAAGGTATGAATGCATTGTACTAGAAATAGTATAGAATGGCTAAAATGAAAGGGAAGAAATTCATTTCGGTCAATTGAACCTTTTCAAACTGTTTCTTTTTAAGAATCAAAAAGATTTGTGCCAGCCGAGGTACCAAACCTTTCGTTTATTAGTAAACTTTGCCCAAACCTTTCATTTGTGTCATCGTGAGTACCAAACCTTTAAAAAATGTGCAGCTCAAGTCGAAATTGACGGTTTCCGTCTGTTTGACCACAAAAACCGTTAGTTGGCCCCAAAAATAAAAAAATTTAATTATTTCCCCAAAATAAGGTAAGGACATTTTGGACATAATGCTTTTCCCCTATTAAATTAAAAATTAGAAAAGCAAAAAGCGAAACCACAAGCACCCACCCCCATCTCCTTCTTTCCCAACCCACTCACAAACGACTTTCCACCTGTAGAAGCCATCTCCGGCACCAACACCTCAATTTGAAGACAATAAACTCGTCTTCGTCTTCATCTTCTGCAATGTCGTTGTTTTCCATAACCTCAGAATCGTTCACCACCACGTGCTTCATCCCTTTGTAATTCCCAAGTTTTACCTCAGTTAAAATCTCACCACCACCAAACAATGAGATCTCACGGGCTTTTACTATTTTAACATACAAATACTGCATTTGTTCAACAAGATCGTAAGTTGAGCTTTTCGTGTCCTTGTTCACGGCTCCGAGGTAAGGATTGGTTTCTTTTAAAGCATACTCACTCGACCCATTTGAGTATCCACCAAAACCACCACCACTGGCGTGAGCGCCACCGTGGACGGCCATGGGGGGAATGACAGGACCAGGAACAGTAGTAATAACAACGGGTTTGATATCACCTGGAGTGGGTCCAATAGCTTTGTGTGGGCCTGCTTCTGCATACCCAGACCATTTGTTGTGGCACCATCAAGTTTCCTCCTTGCTGCTGCATTTTCTTGTTTTTCTTAGAAACAGCAGCACTGCCACTTGGAAGCACCAACCCTCCGCCTCCTCCACCTCCACCGCCACCGCCACCGCCACCACCACCATTAGTCACATGTTTAACCTCGTCATTTTGAGATAGATAAAGCTTCAAACTTGGTGGTGATTATTCCGTTGATGATGACTTTCAGTTATAATATCAAAAATACCCCTTTACCAAACTATGATTTTCATTGAAAACTTTCACTTTTTTGACGGTTGATTTAAGCAGCGCCTCCACGGTGGCGATAGCATCCGTGTCGAAGAAGGACTGGACACACAGTGCCCACCAGTTTTCATGGATTTACCTCCTTAAAGTCCATCAAATCACACATTTCTTGGCCTTCATATCCAATGGATTTATTACCCCCATTCGCACCCGAAGTGCCGTGTCTCGTTCAGCTCCTCCGGTTCTCATGGATTTACCTCATTTTCTTGTTGATAAGTATTGTTGGGTGGGCAGTGGTGGTGATGCCGGCGGGTAGTGGTGGCTGCCGGCGATGAACGGTTGGGTGGAGTAGTTTTGATTTGGGGAAGAAGGAGATGGTTTTATTATTTTTCTAATTTTTAATTTAATAGGGAAAATGTATTATGTCCAGAATGCCCTTACCTTATTTGGGGGAAATAATAATTTTTTTTTGGTTTTGGGGTCAACTAACGGTTTTTGTGGTCAAACAGGTGAAAATCGTCAATTTCGACTTGAGCTGCATATTTTTTAAAGGTTTGGTACTTACAATGATACAAATGAAAGGTTTGGACAAAGTATGCTAATAAACAAAAGATTTTGTACCTCGACTGCAAGTTTCCCAAAATGAAATACACAACGAGGAAGCATATAGATTTGAGGCACATTTGAACCTGTGAGCATCGGCAATACAAGCCTAAGAGGAGTTTGAGCTGGACTTGAAACTTACCGTTTGCGCAAAACATTAACCAGTTCCACTGTGTGTGGCTGGAAATGACGAGATACGAGCTTAGGGCTATGTCATCGAGCAGTTCTTGCATACTCTTTTAGTTGTGGAGGAGCGTATGGGTAGAAGGTTTAGGTCTCTTATAAGATAGAGGTTGAGGATTCAAAAATTTTGAAGAACTTAATAGAATGGGTAAGATGGATATATACTTTTCTAAAGTGGATAATACTTATGAGTTAATGACTTGTGCACGAGTCGAATCAAACTGCTCTAAAAATGTTCAGTTTAAGTTTCAAAATTTTGCCAACTGTATGAAATCGAATCAGATAGTTTAAAAACAAAGAGCTTATTTGGTAGGAATTTGGATAATTGATTTTTTAACCGTTAAAGATAAAGTGAGTCCTACCTGTGAAAGAAGAATTCAAAAATGACGATTGAAATAGTGAAATAACGATCAAAAAATTAATTTAAATTGACTTAATTTTCCATAATCGCAAATGCCGTTATTAATCAATTAATCCAATGAGGTGATGTCATCTTGGACTTGAATTTTTCTCTTTTTCCACCTAAAATCTCAAGATTGCCCCCACGGAGGGTGGGCCACCTGATAGCGCTATCGAAGTTTTTCCCATCAAATAGAGTTGACACATTTTATCTTGAATTGAGCTGATTGTACAAGCCACATTTTGTCCTTGTTTGGTTTACATTCTTTTTCCATTAAGATGAAAAATATGATCGTTATCCATCACATCAAACCATCAAATTTGAATTTCTATCTCTTGTGTAGGGTCGACTATATTTTTCATTCTCTTTTTTCCAAAAATTAAAAACAAACGAGGACTTTTATAGGATTTTTACAAACCACTCACACACACGTAACCCATCCCCGCCCCACTGACCTCCGCGTGTGTCTGGACATGACAGGCTTAGCCAGAATTATTCTTTTATCATTTACCATTTGCCAAAGCTGCTTCCATTCATTGCTCAAACAAGAATCAATCTCATACCACTTCAATAGTTTAAAAGATGGCAGAATTTGTTGGAAGCCGATAATACAGAAGCCATAATAACCAGAATTGAACATAAATCCCGCAAAATTGAAAGCTTACTCGGACAGTATTTTTCTTGATCATTATGCACTCTGAGAAATTCTTCATTTTTTCTTAACGGACGGAAACTGATTACAATTTTTATTACAGGCAGAAACCCGTGAAGGCTTTAAAGACAGCCTTGGAAGGCTCCCCTCCCAATACCAAAGACGAACGCTGTAAGTTCAGATGTCAGTTTATATATCTATGTTTGGATTTTTTAATTGTTGAAAATTCTGGGCTCTATTTTCTTTGTTTTATTTTGATCTGAGGTCAAGGGATGTTAATTATTTTCATTTTTGTTTTTTGGGGTTTTTAAGTCTGCAAATTGGATAGTTGTGCATAGAGCAATAATGGCAATAAAAGGTGTGGATAGCTTGTTCTCGTATCTTGATCCCCGAGTATTACGTATTCTGCAGAAGTAAGTTTGAACTGTCATTTTGTTTTTGTTCTTTTGTTTTCTATTTTAATGATGAAATTGTGTGTTGCAATTTGCATTGTCAAAACAAAAATGACTGGTCATTGGCGTACAGATTTATTCCTAAAAAACTCACAAAGGCGTGGACCCACATGAATAAACAATATCAAAAAATTAACAATAAAGTTATTTGTGACACCCCGGACGACACTCCCCTCACAAGAGAGGGGGGCCCATACGTAATAAAATAATTGTGGGCTCCCCTCTTGTTAGGGGAGTGTCATCCGGGGTGTCAACCCCGGATGTACAAATAGTGAAGTCTAAAAATTAACCCCCATGGTGTCGGTAGGGGTTGTACACCAATCATAACTCTTGTCATAATTTTCTTGTCTACAATTCTGTTTTTTTGCAATAGGAGATTTCTGTAAAATGTTTGGGTTTTTCCAGAAGCTGATTTAAAAGATCTGTTTTTTCTTCTGTAGTAATAGCAAATTTTGACTTTTTATGAGGAATTCTTAAGCAGTGGACTTTATCCTTTTAATGTTAATTTTGCAAGAAGGAAGTTTAACATGTTCAGCTTTTGCAAAATAACAATCGAGGCCCTAAATTTCTCAATAACAGAGTTTATCCATGGTATAGGCTGTCATTTGTTCTTGGAAGCTTTTAGTGTTGGACTGTCGCACTTGTGAAGTTGGAGACTATTGATTCATTAGAAAAGTATCTACTATTGATGCAGAATGTAAAGCAAAATGAGAACAATAGAGAAGAAATAGAGAGGAGAAGGAGAAGAGTCAAAAAGAATAAAATAGACAGAAATTAAAGAGAGAAGAAGAATTTGGAGTTTTAATAATCAATAATTTGATCATATTGAAATCCAAGGTCCCTTTAACAGGGTGAAGTGCTTAAGTCTTACTGAACCTTTAAGTTATCAAAATATAAAATCTTAGATAAATCAAAACTACAGAAACACGATGTAAATCAACCTCTACTTTAAATCCTATTTCTCCTAACTCATATCTTTATTCCCCATCACAACGTTTAAGTTGTTTGCGACCCAACAAAAATCACTGGTTTGGATACCCCCTCATTGGGAGCATGCTTGAATACTCATGTTAATAAGCCTATAGAAGATTTGTTTTTCATTATTATTTTCAATACTAAACAAGTTCAAACCTCAAAGTGAAGACACAAAAATGTTTTCTAACTTTAGCATGCTACCTGCAGCCAAGGTAAAACGGGCAAAAACTGGTCTATGGGTCAAGAAAAGGAAAGGTCTTGCAACATGACTAGGGTTTAACTTGGAAAAGGACCAATAAATTTTTTGATGAGTGTGGGTGCAACCATTACTTTTTCAAAAATGGCCTATCACTATTAAAATATAGTAATTCTTCTAAAATTGAAAGGATCAGGTTCTACACAACTTGCTTTATTGGAGATCTCATAGAAAATGTTACCACATAGAAACCCTTTTACTTAAAGATTTCAAATTGTTCGTCCTAAATTAGAAATAGAAAATGGAGAAAAGGTGATTGTTGATTTAATGAACTTGTGAAACTCATTGATAAACGAATAGAGTAAAGGAGAGGCTTGAACTTCTGGCGGTGACGTGTCAAGTATGATGTTCACTTTTCATAAAATTGAGCAGAAGGGGCCGTGATGAAAAAAGGATATATCAGCTGACCTTTGACTTCCACACGTGTTCTTTTTTGCATAATATATTGCATGATTTTATTTCATCGACGTTTACAGCTGGGAAGATGTAAAGAAAACTGTTCCATGTCATATCTAGCATTTCTGAACAAGTGTGCCAAGGGTCACAATATTATATCATTATGTTCTGTTTCATGGACACCACTCTTCAGTGCGAACAGGACAAGTATCGCTGAAAGTGTTATTTTTTTTTGTGATTGTCAGTGTTGTTTCTATTATTTTTGTCATTTTGGGGATTTAAACATATGGCAGTTAGTTATAGCTGCAAATAGGGTATCAATCTCTTGGGTTCTGAATTCTTAGAAAGAACCTATATTGAATTGTATACGGGATCCGCTGCGTGCTGATATTTTGCACAGCTTGAATATAGTATCTTATTTACTTGAACCTCATGAAGACTTTTCGATATATATGGCACATTTTATATTGTTGAGAAACTGAATGATAGATAATCATCTAGCAAAGATGTGTATTTAAAATTTAATTTGCATTATTGCATCAAATTATATTGTTACATCGCATGTACTAAGTCTCCATATTACCCAGTTGTACTTTTGAAATGAAACTCTACCAGAATCTCATTTCTGAAAGAAAAACAAAAAGTTATATAGGGATGAATGACACCTTGAATAGAGTAACAGATGAGTTTGAGGGGTCGGGAAAGCCCTGTCTTGATATTTTGTCTGAGAAGTCTATCTGTACTTGTATGTATACTTGGATGTATTTGTTGAAAAGGTAGATAGAATTTTATTCTGTTTTGAATTGAATGTAAGATCCTAATTGTTATTGTATTGAAGACCTAATAAACCATATTTGATTTAATTGTAGGGTCTTCATTGTAGACACGTGTATATTGAATAAAATACAAGATTTCTCTCTGATTCTCTCTCTCTTCTCCTCTCTTCCCCCTTTCTTCTCTGATTCTTCTCAGTTCTCATACAGCTTGTTGCTTGTTTAGTTTGTTGTTATGATCATGTGTTTTCAAAACTATGATGAAACTTAACTTTTCAAAAGAAAGAGTGAAGTGCATTTCTTGTTTTGCCATACGTTTGATTAAAAAGAATAAAGAGGGAGAAGTTTTAGGTTAGTGCAGTGTTTTTGTTTATTTATTCTTTTTCTTGAAGCAAAATGATATGCCATTTGCAGTTTTCAATTCTCTCTCCCCTTTTGTATCAACTCATAAAGACAAATGAATTCGATACGACCTCATTGTATTTTATTACCCATTCCCCAATGTTAACCTCTGATTTCCCTCAGATGTGCTCCACAGATAACTCAAACTTTTTGTTACCGCTACCTATTTGGCACTGGCCTCATTGCACTGACATGAATTTGTTGGATGCCACTGACTTCCGTTCTCTCCCCTCCCCTTCCCTCACATCAACCCCCACCCCTCTTCCTCTCTCTTATTATGCTCCTTCCAGAGACTATAATGTTCTTCCCGTCTCCTTTGGAACTTCGAAATCCGAAAATGTCCGATTATTTGTTCTGATGCAGTTGTCAAACAGGGTTATTCCATGGGCTGATTTGTATAGTTAATAAAACATAAAATCTACTAGCCAATTATTACATCATTCTTCAAGGACTTGGAAGCTTTTTATTTTGAGGTCCACTTTGTCTTGTGAGAGGTCAAGATTCCCCCTTTCTTGGAGAAGAAAAAGGAGGCACCTTGGGAACTATAATTCGAATAGAGGACGCAATGATTATCAGTAGAATATAACCATATGAGGTGTAAAATAGAATATTCATGTACTATACTCTTGTTGATTTGAGTTTGTAGGTCTTTTACGTCGTATCTTTCTGATACGTTAAGCTCTTATGGCATAATGAGCACGTCTAATTATTAACTGTGCTTCTAAAGCATAATGATGCCGGCAGAATGCTGTGTAAATAACCCGATGTTGGAAATACCAGTTTTTTTATTTGTATTCTTGATGAGCTCCGATGTACAGTATGCATATCTACCTGCTACATGATTGATAGGTATTTGTATAGAGGCTTGTCTACTGGAGATCGACCCACATGCGACCAATGCCTGCGAATTCACGAGAAGCTGGCTGAGAGAGCTGGTTTGGGATGCATATTACGATCACTTGCAGACACAGTGAACACTGTTTGATAACCAGTTTATGAAATGGATCCCCAGTTGTTTATTATCCCCATAGACTTGTACACAAAGTGGCACAAGGAACTTGATTTTAAGCCATGTCTCTCTCTTAATTTAGCTATGAAATGATGCTATCTTTAGAGCCTGTTTGATTCCATTAATTGTTTTGGGAGGGGGGGGGGGGGGGATTGTTTTTAGTTAAAAAGTAGAGAGAAATTTTTGGTATATATGTAGAATATTTTATTGTATATATGTGTGGTTGAAAATTATCATGTAGCAAGCCATAAATAAATTAACGGGTTTCGAACAGACAATTATTATCACATGGGGGGGTAATGAGTTTTTAATGGTATTTTTAAGGAGAATGTGCGGTTAAAAAGTGGAGAGAAATTTTTGGTATACATGTAGAATATTTTATTGTATGTATGTGTGGTTGAAAATTATCATGTAGCAAGCCATAAATAAATTAACGGGTTTCGAACAGACAATTATTATCACATGTAGGAGTGAACACCTAGTGGTTCGATCCAATTTTCTTGAGAACCAGGCCGAATTATATATAAACTTGTTCAGTTTCACATTTAAGGCTAGAACCAAATTAGGTGAGAATCAACCAGTTCTGGTTTGATTTATTATACAATACAGAAAATAAACAAAGCAATTAGACTGACGACTAGGCAACGACAACTTGACTACAAAAAAGTTGGTCTTATACCATGTTTTGATTTTAAGTTTTACTTTTAACTAAGCCTATATCAAAAGATTTATTTTCAACCTTCACTAATTGGAAATATTTGCTGTAGAAATATTGCAAAAAACATATACATGTGTATATTGTTTTCTAAAAACACCTGTTGACCATTTTCGAAGGTTGACAGATGATGTAAGTGTTACATTAAACAAAGATTGAGAATCTTAATTACGATTATAATATAGTGTAGAAAGTTGAATTTGTAGCTTGCATATAATTATCCATTATAGATACCTTCGTGAAATATCTGCTTGAAAAAACATATAAATCCCTTCCAATTCTATAATTACATAGACACCATTTCATATTTTTTTTGGAATTTGGATCACATATTCCCATTTTACCATCTTAAGTTTCCTTTTTAACCTTAAAAAAAAAAAATTGTAGAAGTACAAAAACCAAACCTTATCAGATTGGTTTTTACCTTGAAGTTTCCTTTTAGTTCACATCTTTTGCTTATTTTTTTTGGACTTTTAAGGCTAACGTACGATATCTGGTAAATATTTTTATTAACAATTAGTTTAAAATCACCGTCGACTAATTGCATCTAGTAATTTAGGTTCACCACATAGACAGAAGTATAAAATTTTAAATAAATAAATGTGAAACTTATTTATCAATTTAAAAATTCTAGGAATCTTTAATACACAAAATATGAATTATTAAATTAAATGAGGTAGATAAGAGTTGAAACTAGAGACTAACGAGTCTACGTGATACTTATCGATGATTGATTGAGGGAATGCTCCCTACATATTAGACATTATCTTGTATAGCTGTGCATATTATAAAGAAAAAAAAAAATCATCTTTATAACAGTATGCCATTCAAAAATATATTTTGAAGTTACTTTGTAGAAAATTTCTTATTCATTTTCACTTTGAAATTAAACATTTTATTTCAATACTCAGTGTCAAGCTTAATTAGCCAAACATGCACTTACATGTGTCCAGATGTTTTTACATATAAAAATTATGTAAATTAGATTTACTCTCGACTTCCACTGTCATATTGTAAATCTTAGTGGCGTCAATTGTTTATGCAACGATATCGAAGGCTAGTTTTACCTCTATAACTTGAGTTCTTGAAGGGGGGTACTTCTACATTTAAATTTAACCATAGAGATACTTTAGTTCTTCTGAAGTATTTGCCAAAGAATTAAATACGACACAATATCATGAAGGTTGGAATTAAAGTGATATGAGTTGAAACTCTTATTTTCCATCTATAGATAAAACAAATACACTGGTTGTCAAAAATTCGGTGAATCCTTATGAAGAAACATCGAAATTTAAATTTTTAAAGTTAAATTTTCGAGCAAGTTAACTAAATAGATAAAATAAATTGATGACTAAATAGAAATTTTCATATTATTTGTAACAAAACAAGTTTTTTACCAACAAAAAAAATAAAGAAGTACAGATGACAAAGCACTCTGCTAATTAGACACTCGTAAGTTTTATTCATAACAGTAGAGAGCATCATTTTAGGACAAATACTTGTTCTATTAAATCGGGCGAACTTCAATTCCTTTGACAAGAAGACCAGACTTCCAGCGAAGTCTCTTTGTCTCAAAAAGTCGCATTTCCACTGTACCTTCATCTCCCTTTTCATTGACGAACTCTCCAAGTTTAATCTCCATCCATTTATCTTCACGACGGTGTGGAACCTGTTCGTATGCTTGAACTTCCTTTTTATCTTCTAGGAATAGGAACACAGCGACGCCCTCATCTTCAAAACCAACATATTTGTCCTTAACAAACCTAACTGATGATTTGACTTGCTTGAGCTCCTTCGACCACCCGTCTTTGAGCTTGAACACAAGATAAGCACTATAACCTGTATATGTAGCCAACTTTCTTACATCTATCTTCCCCATAATATCAAGCCAACATACATTTCGGAGCTCGGCCACCTCAGTTCTACACATATATGGCATAACCAAGATATAAATTGCTCATCAGCATTAGCGAAATGTACAAATTATTTATCAACATATGAATAAGAAATTGTACACGACCTCATCTATATTGTTGGATACCGGATAAACTTATTTACTTCATTAGTTAAACGAGGGAAAATAATAATCAACATTTTGAGAGAGAGAGAGAGAGAGAGAGAGAGAGAGAACCTGCTGCAATCTGGAGGTTGAGTCCATCCCCAGTATCGTTGGTCATTTATCCAGGTAATAGTAAGCTCCCGCGCTGGTATCCACTTGCTCTGCTCAAAACCATCGTTAGTTGTAAGAACAAATGTATATAATATTTTAATTAAACAGAAAAAAAATTGTTCTCTGTGTTGTCTATAATCTACGCGAATTAGATACAAAAACGTAAAAATTTCAATATAATACCATTGTGCTTTGTATCAACGCCTCTTCTTGTCCTTTATCTCTCCCACTCTATGAATCCCTCTTTATCATAATTTCATGTATATATAGGGATATGGAAAGGCATATAACACATAAAGCAGACGATGATGAATGTGTGAATATGATGCCATGTCCACAACTTGCCTTTCCCTTGTCTTCCTGGTTTTGGAAGTGCACTCTTCGTACAAGAATAAATAGGAATAAAGAAATGCATCCAACTTGAATGGTTCAAGGATGGCTATTAGTGTTGACACGTATCATAGCTAAAGAATCGACTTTTTGGATTTTATATTTGCTTTGGTTAAAAAATAAACTAGAACATTGTGAAATGAATGTTTTAGTGATTTTTGAAGAATCAAGAATAAGGTATGCTTTCTAAAAGAATAATGTTATCTAATAAAATATTGGAACACCAATCTAGGTGAAAGAATATGATATGTACAATTAAGTGAGTTTTATGACTATATTTAATTGAATTTGTTTTATTCTTGCATTTAGAAGGTGGCACAGCTGATACTAAATATTATTACCAATTCTAAAAAGAATACCTTCAAAAAAAATTCTAAAAGGAATTCAAGATAAAATTGCATATTGTGAAATGGGGACTATTGATTCATTAGACAAGTATCTAATATAAAATATTAGACAAATCAAAATCAACCTCTGCTTTAAATCCTATTTCTCCTAACTCATATCTTTATTCCCCATCACAACGTTTACGTTGTTTGCGACCCAACCATAAGCACTGGTTTGGATACCCCCTCATGGGGAGCATGCTTGAATACACATGTTAATAAGCCTGTAGAAGATTTGTTTTTCATTATTATTTTCAATACTAAACAAGTTCAAACCTCGAAGTGAAGACACAAAAATGTTTTCCAACTTTAGCATGCTACCCGCAGCCATGGTAAAACATGCAAAAACTGGTCTTTGGGTCAAGAAAAGGAAAGGTCTTGCGACATGATTAGAGTTTAACTCGGAAAAGGATCGATAGATTTTTTGATGAGCATGGGTGCAAACCATTATTAAAAATAGCCTATCACTATTAAAATATAGTAATTCTTCTAAAATTGAAAGGATCAGGTTCTACACAACTTGCTTTATATTGGAAATCTTATAGAAAATGTCACCACATAGAAACCCTTTTACTTAGAGATTTTAAATTGTTCGTCTAAGTTAGAAATAGAGAATGGAGAAAATGTGATTGTCGATTTAATGAACTCGTGAAACTCGTTGATAATCAAATAGAGTAAAGGAGAGGCTTGAACTTCTGGTGGTGATGTGTCAAGTATGATGTTCACATTTCATAAAATTGAGCAGAAGGGGGTGTGACCAAAAAAAGGGTATATCAACAGATCTTTGACTTCCACACGAGTTTTTTTTTGCATAATATATTGCCTCATTTTATTTGCTTATATCCATCGACGTTTACAATATGGGAGGATGTAAAAAAACTGTTACATGTCATATCTAGCATTTCTGAGCAAGTGTGCCAAGGCTAACAAAATTATATCATTATGTTCTGTTTCATGGACATCACTCTTCAGTGCGAACAGGTCAAGTATCATTAAAAGTGTTATTTGTTTTTGTGATTGTCGGTGTTGTTTCTATTATTGTTGTCATTTTGGGGATCAGTTAGTTATGGCTGAACATAGGGTATCAATCTCTTGGGTTCTGAATTCTTAGAAAGAACCTATATTGAATTGTATACGGGATCCGCTCCATGCTGATATTTTGCACAGCTTATAGTATCTTATTTACTTGACCCCCACGAAGACTTTTTGATATATATGGCACATTTTATATTGTTGAGCAGCAGCGGCTCTGAGTATAGGCGAAGTAGGCGATCGCCTAAGGCCTCGCTTGGGTGAGAGTTCCAAATTATGTAAAATTAATTGGTTGGTTGAAGAAAAATAAAAATTATATTTATGAAATTCTGTAAAATAGAATTTTTTTTCTTGTAATTATATTTATCACAAACATTACTTTCCTTCTTTATAATTAAGTTGACACTTTATCTTTCAAACATTCATTTTTTTCTTAACCAAATAAAAGGTATCTTTTTTCTCTTCAAATTCCATATCCAACAATCACCCACCATCATTTCTTCCACCAAACAAGATATGAATTATCTCCCTTTGAATTAAAATTTTGAAGATTCAATGTAAATTGGTTTGGTCTCACTTCTATTGTTACAACCTTACAAGTTTCTTCTTTTATTCTTATCTTCAAAACATATACTACAGAGCACATATGTTGTTATTATATTATTTTGTTTTGATCTCATGATAATAATATTTTTAGATGTTTGCTGAATGTATTTTGAATTTAATAATTCTTTGTTCTTGTTCATACAGATACTTCTCATTTTTAAATTAATTTCTTATAAATTAATATAAAATTAGAAGTTCGTTTGTATTTGATCATCATTTTCATTATTTTGTTACATTATCTTTTTGCAGTCAACATTCTCCAATCTTATATATAAATCACTCAAATGTATATTCAATTTTATTTGAAATAGTTGCAGTAAGAAAATAGTCATATAAACAAACATACTTCTTTGCCATTGCATTGTAATTCTTTCTGCCAAACTTTACTTGTAATTTGTGTTGTAGGCTGAAATTTGACATTTTTTTAATTTTTTCTTCAAATTTTGGGGCTTAGTTGTCCGTGTTAGATTTTTTATAATTGTATTAGGCCCCTATTTGGTATCGATTAAAATCTAAATTTTAATTTAAGTCAAAATTGACAATTAATTTTAACCATATATTTTATGAGTTTTACAACTTTAAATCCACATATTTCATCTACTTCTATTATCTACTAAAAATTTTATTTTAGGGGTTGTTTGAACCCCATTTTTTTCAAAAAAATGCATTTTGAACTAGTATTACGATGAAAAATGTGTGACTAAAATTTAAGGAAATTTTTTTGGTTTGCATGTAATGTTATTTTATTGAAAAATATGTAATTAAAATAATGTCAAATCACTATTGAAAAATGTATTTTGAGAAAAAATGAGGCTCAAACAAGGGTTTAATCTCCATCAAACAGGGGCTAAAACTTTATACAATGAGACTCAAAATATAGGACCCCAATTTAAAATTGACATAAGGCCACCAACATATTAAGGCCGGCCCTATTGTTGAGAAAATGAATGATCGATAATCATCTACCGAAGTTGTATTTAAAATTTAACTTGCATTGTTACATCATATTATATTGTTACAACGCGTGAACTAAGGATTCATTTGATTGCAAAGATTGAATTGAATTGAATTGAAAATGAATTTCAGGGAATTGAATTGTCTAGAAATTACTTTCCTGGGAATTGTAAATTATTGTGTTTGATTGGTATAATTTTTCATGTGAAAAATGTTGAAATAAAAGTGTTTTTGGTATTCATTTGGCTTTATTTTACATGAAAATTGTCAATTAAAGAAATAGATTTTACTGGTATTGGAAATGAAATTTGTTTCTATTGACAAAATTTTTTTTTTAAGAAAATCATCTATCTTTTAGTGTTCGTTTGGTTTTATTTTACATGAAAATTATCAATTAAAGGGAAATATTTTTTTACAATAATTCTTAAAATTTGTTTCCGTTGCCCAAAAAAAAAAAAAAAAAAAGTGAACAGTAACTGGGAATTTCCCAGAAAAGTAAGAAAATTGCACTTCCCAATAAAACCAAGAATCTAAATTTCATGGAAACTAAACCCTATCAAACAACTAAAAGTTGGAAAATGCAAAGTAAATTTCATTTTCCATGAAAAAAATTAACCAATCAAACATATCCTGAGTCTCCGTATTACCCAGTTGTACCTTTGAAATGAAACTCTCCTAGAATCTCTTTTTTGAAGGAAAAAACAAAAAGTTATACAAGGATGAATGACACCTGTACAAGTTTTAATTCTTTGCACTTTCTTTGGCCAATTATTAAAATAAGCCTGCTGCATGATTGATGGGTATTTGTATAGAGGCTTGTCTACTGGAGATCGACCCACATGTGACCAATGCCTGCTATTTCACGAGAAGCTGACTGCGAGAGCTGGGTTGGGATAGTAAGATCACTTGCAGACACAGTGAACGCTGTATGATAACCTGTTTATGAAATGGATTCCAGTCGTTTATTATCCCCATAGACTTGTGCACAAAGTGGCACAAGGAACTTGATTCTAAGCCCTGTATCTCTCTTAATTTTGCTATGAAATGATGCTATCTTTAGAGCCTGTTTGATTCCATTAATTGGGGGGAAAAATGAGTTTTGAATGGTATTTTCTAGAGAATGTGTTGTTAAAAAGTATAGAGGAATTTTTCATATACGTGTAAAATATTTTATTGTATAAATGTGTAATTGAAAATTATCATGTAATAAACCATAAAATAAATTAATAAGTGTCAAATGGGCAATTATATCTCATGTAGAGGAGAACACCTAGTGGTTCGATCCAAGTTTCTTGACAACTAGAATGAATTACATATAAACTTGTTCAGTTCCACATTTAAGTCTAGAACCAAACTGGGTGAGAATCGACCAGTTCTGGTTTAGTATACAATATAGAAAATAAACAAAGCAATTAGACTAGACGACTAGGCAGCGACAGATTGACTACACAAAATTTGGGCTTATACCATGTTTTGATTTTAAGTTTTACTTTTAATTAAGCCCAAATCAAAAGATTTATTTTCAAGAGGAAATTAGGCCATATACCCCATTTTTTAAAGTGTTTTGATTAATACCTTTAAAATTATTTAAATATTTTAAAGAAGAATTATTTGCATCCTAAATTGATAAAATCAAAATCAAAACTGAACCCAATTCTACAGCAAGCCCTTATCCCCTAAAATGCCTGGACAATGCCCTAATCGTAAAAACCTAAAACACCTCGTACCTGGAAATCCAGAGGCAAAATTCAGAAGCCATCCCTTCTCTCCAACAACATTCGATTGTAAATCTCCATTTTCGACCCACTTTCCATCAATTTCTTCTTTGTTTTTCCTTTGTGACCATTCAGTTCCCTTCGTAACTGTAAATCTCATATTTTTGCAATGTCTGAGAAAAGTGGATTGAAGAAGAGGCAAAGAAATCTCGAAGAACCATCCTCAAAGAAGAGGACC